GCCAAATATGGTTTCAACGAGGTGTTCTCTTCATGCCCTGGAAAATTAATTTTAAAAAAAAAAGCACAATGAATTCACACAGGAAAGCATCCGCACTTGGAAAGGCAAGGCTCTGGCAGCGGCGCGGCACTTTGTTAAGGCAAGCTTGCTTCCCAAGGCAGAGCAACTTTAGATCCCCCTGCACATGTTCATGTTCCGTGCCTCTGCCCTCAGCCTTGCACCCCGGTCGCGGCTGCGATCCTAGCTGCACAGTTCAAAACAACACGTTAAGCACAGGCTACGCAACGCAGTGAAAGACAAGCAGGCTTTGGCTGGTAAAAGAAGCTAGCGAAAACCAAACCGGGTCTGGGCTCCTATCGTACTTTTTTCTTCACGCTCTCTGCAGTTTCCCCTCTTCCCCTCCTCTCTCACACATTCTCTCTCTCTCTCTCTTCCTCCTGTGGCTCCCTCTTTCTCACACACTCTCCCTTTCCTATATGGAAAGCGGCGTTGATTTGCTATGGGTATGATCTGTTGTGTGGCTCCCCCCATGCGGAGTTGCAGCAGTCCTGATTGCATACTCTGCATATCATAGGCTTTATGCTCGCTCGCTCGCGCGCTCTCCTCTCCCTCTCCCTCTCCCTCTCCCTCTCCCCTCTCCCTCTATGTGTCTCTGTTGTAGGACTGGCTATGGCCACCACTACTTCCGGGTTCCGTCATTTCATTCTCCCGCCGATCAGCGCTGCAAAACTGAGCCTCTTCTATAAGCCAGCCAGCAGCCAACCTGCCAACACTTACTGACACTCACTCATCTCAGAGAGAGAGAGGGAGAGAGAGAGAAAGAGAGAGAGAGGGAGACAAAATACCTACCAGGAAAAAAAAAGGGAGAGGGGGAAGTCCGGGTTTTGCAAACTATTCAATTTTTCTTCGCATCTCCCCACCCCCCCTTCCCAGTACTTAAAAAAACCCTATAGCGATCCTAAAAGGCAAAACCCAAGCGCGGAGTTACTGGAAGAAGAAACCCGGGTTAAAAAGATTCCTCCTCTCTTCTTCATCATCATCAACCATCATTCATTCACTACCTTGACATTCCCTGGCTTTGATTGACAGCTGGAGTGGCAAAAAGCCATGAGACACGACAGTTTGGTTACATGTGGGTTGCTGACGGGCCGATCGTAACCTTCAGTTTGGGGGCTTGACAATTTTTTTTTTTTTTTTTTTTTTGCGTAGAGAAAGAAAAAAGGAAAAAGAGAGAGAGAAAGAGGAAAAAAGGAAAGAGAGAAAGAGAGAGAAAAAAAAGAAGAAAAACACAGAAACTCATCGTGGCTCTTGACTGATTTTTTTTATTATTATTATTATTATTATTATTATTATTTACCTATACTGGAGAATAGGAGAAGTCTCTAAGTGGGTTTCAAAAAAAAAAAAAAGAAGGAATCTTCTTCACTCTAAATCACTTTCTTTGCTGGACTGGGATATTAAATATACGACACATCCAGGAGTTTATTGGAGCGCAGACTGATGGCGCAAAGGGTAGGTTTAAATCTCCAACACTTACCTATATATAAATCCTCTCTTAAGAGGGGCCTGTCCGATTTGCTCTCCTCTGTTGCTGATGATGATGGCGGCCAGTATTAAAAAATAGCAGCAAAAATTATTCACTAGCTTTTTGTGTGTGTGTCTGTGTGTGCGTGTCTCTCTCTGCGATTGTTCCACGCTTTTTTCCTCTCCAGCTTTTCCCCCAGCAGCGCGATTTCCCTGCTCCTCTCGCTGCTCAGTAGCACGGGTTTCACAGCTTGCTGCTGCTGCTTCTGCCGCTGCCGCTGCTGCCTAGGGAAGCTCTCTGTGTGTGCCTATACATATATACGTATGTATGTATGTATATATGTGCATATCTGGAGCTCTTTGATTTGTCTCTGACTTTGACAAGGACAAGGGGAATTGCTGCTAAATAATGTTTCTGGTAACTTTCAGATTATTTACCCCTTCCCCTCCGCGATTCGCCCCACCTTCTTCTCCTCTATCCTTCCCTGTGCTTAGTTATTTCTTTATTTGCTTCCCAGCCTGTTTGTTTACTCCTTTATTTCGGGTCTTTCCATTCTGATCCAAAGCCACTCCAGTCTCTCCTTCGTTTCCTTCCTTTTTCATCCCAGTTTCCTTGTTAGGGTTTCTTCTTCCTTGATCAGCTCCCCCCCCCAAAAAAAGAAAAGAGTTTCTTTCTAACCCTGGTATGAAATCCAGTCTTTCA